CCCCCCCCCAACAAACCCTCTATGACTCTGCCCTGCTCTGTGACGCAAACCTGACTACAGAGAGGCTCAGGCAGCCTCAGCTCTCAGTTGCCTCAGGCAGCTGAGCGATTCACACTACGGGGAAGGTCCTCTCCTTTCTGAATCGCGCCCGCTGAACCACTGTTGGGCTTTGGCTGGGTGCTCTTGGATGCTGATCCACCGCACCTTCCTAAGCGCAGGGGCTGCTTCTCCTGCGCCTGGGGTACAGGACACTGACTTTGTTTTATCACCGTGGAAGCGCCAAGACCTCCGAAAGGTGAGCCCTAGAGATTATTCTATACTGATGTGTCCCGTTTCTGTCCTCATATTATTGGATGTCACAGAGAGATGTCTGAAGGGGATGCCGAGGGGAGGAGAGAACACGGCTGCCCTAAGGCATGAGGCCTGGTAGGGCTGGGATTCAAGGAGAACCAATGTTCTCATCTGGACCCACAGCCTACCTCTGTGTGTAATTAAAGTCCCATGATCTAGGGTCACGCACTGATTTGGGGTCTCACTGACTTCTTTCCAGATGGTGGGTTCCCTGAAGAGCGGTGTCCCTGGTCATTTAATCTGCCCTGTTCACTCACATTGCCCTTCCCCCAGCCTTTCCTAAGTTGGGCAGCGGATGAGGTCCCTAAGGGCCTCTGAACAAAACCTGTGTCCCCAAAACATAAGACCTCCAGAGGTCCTGAGCTGTGACTACCGGCCTGAACCATGCATGGAGTAGAGGACCAGGAGCTAAGAGCCTGGAATGTGGTCACGCAAACACCTTTAGTTTCTCAAACAAAGAACAGTTGAAAATGACTGTCTTTCAAAGTTAATAAGAAGGAAACTGTTACTCGAAGTCAGTATTCGTGGATAATAGATGTAGAAGAGAAAAAAGTTGTCAGGTGGGCGGTGGTGGCGCACGCCTTTAATCCCAGCACTCGGGAGGCAGAGGCAGGCGAATCTCTGTGAGTTTGAGGCCAGCCTGGTCTACAAGCAAGAGCTCGTTCCAGGACAGCTAGGACTGTTATATATACATTCTTATATATCAGAGCAGAGCCAAGAGAAGACAAAAAAATAAAAAATAAAAAAAAAACCCGCTAACACTTAAAGCCAAGGTTCTTCCTGTCTGACCTGAGCCCCTCAAGGTGCTCCTTCCTGTTCTTCCACAAGTTTCTAGGCCCATGATCTGATAATGTCATTTGCTAGACACAGTGCCTCTCAAGGAGGAGTTTCCAGAGAAGATGCTTACAGGTTCGCATCTGAGCATGCCTCAGAGCCCCGGTGACGCCCATAGTCTCAGGCATTTGAATGCTTGGTTCCCAGGTGGTGGTGGTATTTGGGAGGCTGAGGGGATGTGGCCTTAGGGGTGTATGTCACTGGAGACAGGCTGTGAGATCTCAGATCCACATCATTTCAGGTTTGTTCCCTCTGCTTCCTGCCAGAGGCTCCAAATGTGAGTTGTCAGCTGCTCCTGTGGCCAGGAGCCTTGCCACAGTAGGCTCTTAACCTCTGGAACTGTAAGCCCAAGCTGCTTGGGTCATGGTTTTTTATCATGGCAACAGAACAGTAACAAATGCAGTAATTGGAACAAGGTACCTCGGCACTGCATCCCTCTCCCTTCTGGTCGAGAGGTTTAACCAGGTCTGTTGGCTGCTTGGAGTCACGACGTCTGTCTCCTGACATCGTGTGCAGCGCCCTGTTCCCGAGTGCTCACCATCAAAGGGCTCCAGTAGAACCTTAGGTCTCAGTCTTCATTTCTGTGTTACTTACTTTGCTGTTGCCGCAATGAAATGCCCTGACCAAAGCCACTTGGAGGAAGAGTTTGTTTTGGTTTATAGTTCAAGGATACAGTCTATCCTGGAGGGGAAATCGTGGTGGCGGGAGCTCTATGTGACTTAGTGCATCTGTTGTTTTTACCTAAGTTTTTCTATTTACCAGGAAGGTCTCAGGAGTCAGATATTGGGCTAAAAACCTGCTGGATCAGAGAAGCTGAGAAGCAACCCACTGACCTTCCCTTTTGGCCAAAGACCCTGCAAGAGAACCTCTTTCCACACTGTCACAAACCAAAAAGGCCTGCAAATTTCCTTCTCCTTCCTGTCTTCCCAGGTTCTTTGTACTCTCTATGGCTAATTCTTGTCGACCAGTCACTGGATCAGGAAATTAGCCTGATCCAAGGTTAGTCTGATCGACACAGTCTCAGAGTTTCACGGTGCAGTCAAATATCTCATGGAACATCTGCAGCCAGGAAGCACTGATACATGAGAGCTGTCGGCTTACTCTCTCCTCTGTGTGCAGTCCAGGACCCCAGCCCATCAGCCAGAGTGAGCAAGAATAATAAAAACCCAGAGGCAGATATTGGGGTTCAAGCTGAAGATCAGAAAAACAAAGCAGTCAGCCATTAGAGAGACCTTTATACCTCTACCAAATTTTCAGACCGAAAGGGTGAGAACCTGTCTTCACGAATTCTCAAACTCAACATTTCACTAAGTTCCTCTCTTCTCCCCTATATATTCCCCTCTCTGCCCAGCCATATGGCTTGTGTCTCCACCTCCCTAGTGTTGGGATTAAAGGTGTGTGATCCTAAGTGCTCAGATCACCTTTGTGTGAGCTCTGTTTCTCTTTTAGATAGATTCAGTTTTGTGTAGCCCAGGGTGGCCTTGAAGTCACAAATAATCGGCTGACTCTGTCTCCTGAGTCCTGGGATTAGAGGTGTGTGCCTCCACTGCCTGGCCTCTATGGTGACTAGTGTGACTGCTTTGCTCTCTGATCTGCAGGCAAGCTTTATTTACTAAAACAAATGATACCACTCCACCAGTGCTGCCGTGGAATGTGGCTCTTCCAGTGTCATTAGCCTAATGTAGAAAGTACCTCGGAGACATGACAGGAATTTGTTTAAGGATGGTAAATCCCACCAAATTGATGACTGAGATTTACAATTACATAGAAACTACTGTTTTTATTTCCCAGATTGGAGAACTTTCCAGAGAGAGAAGCAGAAGAAGGGGAGACGCTGTCTGCTCTGGAAGATAACTTAAGTATTTGTCTTTATTCTTGTTCCTTTTGTAACATGGCTGTGAGCCGTGGGTGCTCAGGGTAGCCGGGCCTGGTCCTGGGAGGGACAGTCGCTGGGTCATCTAAGATGACCACCATGGCCTTTCGTCCCTTGTGTTGGTCCTTCCGTGTGCACTTTGTGGGTGGGTATCGTGACAGCACCTACTTGCAGGAACTAAGGTGTCCTGCTGAGGTCAGTCACCTGCTGTGTCTGACCAGCACAAATGCCCCATCTCTGGTTCCTTTGGCTTCCTTAGCTCTTGTGGCTGGGCATGACCTCCCTGGCCCTTCTTGGAACCCCAGCGCTAGGCCTTCTGCCTGAGTCTCTTCCTGCTTTCTCCTCCATCCTGTCCCCTAAGCAGGGGATCTCCTCAGGGAAGGCTTCCACTCTCACCACCACGAAGCTCTCCACCCTCCCCCTGGGGCACACCACAGGAGACTGCCTCACTGTGGCTCTTCACAGAGTTTCCCTGGGTTGGGGATTGGAAACAGGACCAGGCCCTATTTCCCTCTTTGTCCTTCACATCCAGGAACTCTAGAGACAAATGAAGTAGCCATGGCAGAGGAGGAGGACGACATGTTTTCTGACTCCAAGGGGTCAGAAGGTCAACCCACAGCCCCATGGAAGGCGCCGGGTCAGGACACCCCAGGCCCAAAAACTCACTGGACTCTCAAAGGGGAAGCAGGACAGTTGGGGGTCTCTGAAGAGCCTCTGTGTGTGAAGGCCCCAGGGACAGACTTGGGGCAACCGCAGCACAGCCTACGCTTCTGGGGTCTCCCCTCCCTGCACAGTGAGTCCATCGTGGCCACCCTCCTGGTGCCCCTGGGCAGCTACTCGCTAGAACCTCACCTTGTGTTGTTCAACGGGGTCTGTAAGGCTGTCCCAGACCCAGTGCTGGACCACGGATCTCCAGCCCTTCCCCAGCCCCTCCCAGTGCCCCTCACCTTTGTACATGCTCAGCCGCAGACTGTCCCTTTCTCTCCTGTCCCTCCTCAGGCCCATATGCAATCTCCACTCTCTCCCATGCAATCATCTGTGCCCCATGGACGTCCTGTCCGAACACCGCAGAACAGGACTGTCTCTGAAGTCTTAAATGGACGTGGACATCTGCAGTACCATCTGCTGCAGAATCATCCAGCTCACTTGTGGGGCATGGTCCCCGAATGTCAGTGTGAACCTGTCTTTGGTCTTCTGGTTCCCAGCTTTCCCTCGATCAGCCAGCCTTCACAGGCCTATGTCTCCATCCCCAGGACTGGCCATTTTCATTTCAACAGTGGACCTCAGAACAACCTGGAGCCCTATGGACCACACAGCCAGGTCCCATCATGGCACTATCAGCCCTGCATTAGGACAGGCGTCCCAGAAGCGGTGGACCCTCAGTCCAAGCCAACAGGAACATCTCCCCATGACTCCAGATGTTCTAAACCTCAACGCTCGGTACACTGGAGTCTGAACTGCAGCGACATCAGGACTGGAGAACCGAGCCAGTCAGAAAGTTTCTGTGAGCAGGCCTCAATGCAGCCTCAGCTGAGAAAGGATGTAGCCAAGAATCTCGGCCAAATCCTAGGAAAGTGCCCCCTAGACAACCCACAAGTGATCTCAGAGTGTTATGTCCTTAACACTCTCGGCGTTGTACCCAAGACAGAGCAGGATTGGGCGGGCCGCTCCAGGACGGGCTGGGAAAGCCAGCGGCTCACCATCTCAAGGAAGAGCTTGGACCAAAGGCACACAAGAAGCATCCTTAGGTTACACATGGACAGAAAGCTCTGGCAGATCACAACGGGTCGGATTCCAGTCCAGGTGTGCCGTTCATGGCTGACTGAAGATTTGCCTCCCTGGGACTCACTGGGAAATGTTTACTGCAATACCGCTATTCCCAGAATACCTTTTCTCGACCACAAGACGCAGAAGATGCTGGAAGCCCATCTTATCAGGTTCCGAATGAGTCAGAAGTGGGACCTCCCCCTCAAAGTTATTGAATCCATAAAATCCTATCTGTTGAGAGAAGCTAAAACATGGCCCCTTCCTCAGTCTGACTGCCCCTCCCCTTCCAACAGTACTTCTGAGTCGGATTTGAAAGATACCTTCCCCCCTCTCCTCAGAGGAAGCTCTAACCTTTTTCATGAAGACAAGATAGAAAGAGACTCAGCAAACTCAGCCTCCACCATAGACCTCCTTCCCCTCACCGTCCCACATGCAGACGGGGAAGGAGGGGAGCCCCTCAGACAATCGCACTCCAGCCCTGCTTATGAGGTTACAGAGATGGTCCAGATAGCTGAGGGAGACAGACCCAGCAATGTGGACAGCACAAGTCGGGACGACGCTGAACCACACAGTAGACCTAAACAGGAGCCACCTGCAAAGGACCGAGTGGCTGAGTCTGAATCGAAAAATGGAATGGCAAGATCGTCTTCTCACCTAGAAATCCCCACAGGTGAACAGAAGGTGGAGAGAGACCCAATGTACAGGCTAACACCAAGAATACTCAGCGAGATCCTCAGGGGCCCGGAGGTGAGCTCGCTCCTTGCTGGGTCTGCTTCTAGCGGCAAGTTCAGAAGCTCCACAGAGGAGGATGAAGACAGAAATAATCTAGCCTCCAGTCTGGTCACGGCACACAACCCTTCAAGGGCGCGGCTTCCTGAAGATCCGGCATTGCTGGACTTTAAGAAACTGTTGCTTAGGGAACTGAAGCTGAAGTTGGAGAATCAGTCCCAAAACCAGACTGAAAGCTATGAAAGCGATGTGTCCCTTACCACGGGCAGTCTGACTGGCTACTCGCCTTCATCTTCCAACAGTATGTCCAGTGCAGACGTCTCGGTTTCCAGGGACTTCCATGCCCACCTACATAACCCAGGGATCAGTTTGGAGCTATGGCAGAAGCACAGGGCCTTCAAATATATCTTAAGGAATTTAACACCAGCTGAGATCAGACCGGCCTCACCAGTACCCAGAGGAGAAAATAGCAGCAGTGAGACCACCAAAGCAGGAAGGAAGGGCCAACCTAGTAAAGGAAAATCAGACCACAAGCCACATCCTCCTGAAGGCTACTTCAGAAAAAAGATAGTACAGTTTTTCCAGTGGTTTCATTCCAGGAAAGACAGCGCAAGGCACAGATCCGAGAAAGACAGGGCTCTCTTTCTGAGCTGTGGGCCGCCCGAAGCCCACGAGCTCATGGCCTCCCTCGGGAAGCTCCTGGAGGACAAGCTCTTATGCGGGCAGAAATCGGAATTCTCGGAGTGGGGCCAGAAGAAGTGGCTCAAGCCCACCAAGGGACAGCCTTCCACCCACGGAGAAGGGGAAAGTAGCTGCTGCTGTCCCCAGACATACCTCTCTTCGGGTCCAAGTCAGACACTCGGCCTTGGACAGAGACATCCTCACATATCTTTTAAGCAGCAGTCACAGTTGAGTTATTCGCCTTCCCCCAAGGCCAGGGATCCCTAGTCCCAGGCAGGTCCTGCGTGTGTCACGTGCCTGCCCCTGTCCTCACGTCTGCTAAAGGTAGTGTTCTGAGACCCGACTCTTCCTCAGAAACGGAACATGTTTCTGTTTATGTGAGGCAAAGTTTCTGCATTAGAACCCAGTCTTTGTTTAAAAAATTAAAATATTTTCAGAGCAATACACACTGTGATGAGAATAATCTATTTACCAAAACTTCTGAGTTTTGTGGGCCTTCTTGCCACATGCCTAGTGAGAACAGCTCTATTAAAAGGGATGTCTAGTCCTTGTCGGGTGCTTGACAACGGCCTGCCCAGCTTCATTATGGAACTTTTTGTTTCATTGGTTTATCAAACTTTGTTTTGAGAATTTCGTACATGTACCTAATGAAATCTACTCCACCATCCTCCCCAAAATATCTCCCCCAACACACTCCCAACTTTGTGGCTTTTATATATAACTCACTTGGTTCAGATAGTGCTGCCCACTTATGCGTAAGGGTGGACACCCACTGGAGCATGGGAAAACTGCATCTTCAAAAGGGGTGACTCAGTGGCTCAAAGTATTTGCTGTTCAGAGGGGCAGAGCTTGGTTTCCATCAGAACGTCAGTTTACCTTAAAACACACGTGGCTCCAGCTTCAGGGGAAATGGTGGCCTCTGGCCTCTGTGGGCCCCACACACATACAAGTAAATAGTAAGTCTCTTAAAAGACAGCTCTTCCCAGCCATCAGCCACCGCTCCTCAATGAGGGGTGGGGCCTGGCTGTTGTCTATCCCACCCAGCTTGGGCTTGTGGCTGGATCTTGTACAGGGCCTTGTGCAGGTCACCAGGTGTGTCCCTCTTCCCTGTTGTTACCAGAGCCGTGGCGCTGCTGTCGAGGCAGCCCACTTAGGACTGAGCACTTGTCTCTCGTTCTCACCACTTCGCCTGGTTCTGCCCACTGCAGAGGGGGGTTTCTCCGACAGAATTGAGAGCAGCCCAGGTCTACAGAGAGAAGCAGAAGGTTTGGGAATCCTCCCTACAAGTTCTTGCTCCAGAGGTCTCCCAAACCACACATGCCATTGCCCACCGTAAGTACATGCCAAGACCCTGTTGCTAAAGACACCACGTAACAGACCACCGGACCTAGAGAAATCAGTCTAAAACCAGCCTTCACGGTGCCAGAAGGGGCTGAGCAGGTTGCTGGGGGAGAAAACGCAATAGCAAGGGAGCGAGGCTTGCATGCTGCAGTGCTGGGCTCGTGTGCTGCAGTGTGGACCTGCCAGGAAAGCTGCCCCGACTGGCGCACATCTGACTGGATTGTGAGATATGATCCACAGAAGAGAATTTCATGCCTGGGACTGTGTGCTGTTCAAGAGCCCATGGCTGGAGGATATTCCGCTCAATGCTCAACTGGGAGATTGCCTTTTAAACATCCATGCTTGTACCTATTTTGTGTTTTTAACACAGAGACTTATTCCGAAAATTTCCAGATTTTTTTTTTTTAAAAAATGATTATTTTCAGGTAGGGTCTCATATATGGCCCCAGTCGGACTGGGATGGAATTTGCTATGTAGACTAGGTTAGGATCAAACTCACAGAGAGCTGCCTGCCTGTCCCGCGCTACCTTCTCGCCAGCAAGAACGACGCGGGGCACTTAGGATACTTCTGCAGTAAAGCTTTAATGCATCTTGAGAGGGAGAGCATCAGCTTCCAAAGCGGAGACCCAGAATGAGGGGAACCCAGCCCTTATAAAGGAAACAGTCCTCGCTTCTGACGTGTCACTCTTGGATTGGTCCACTGCCCATTATCCCAGATGATGCCTCGGAAGTAGGCAGGGACGCAGCAGTAGTAAGTTACTAAGCACATGCGCTGGGATTAAAGGCGTGTGCTACAACACCTTGAACTCACAGAGATCTGCCTGTCTCTGCCTCCCAGGCATTGGGACCAAAGGCGTGTACCACCACACCTTGAGGACACAGAGGTCAATCTGCCTCTGCCTCCCAGGCATCAGGACTAAAGGTGTGTACCACCACACCTTGAGGTCACAGAGGTCAATCTCTACCTTTGTCCCTTGAAGCAATGGAAAATGTGGTTGCGGCCCTCCACACCTGCCTTTTTTAAATTAAAAACTGTGTTTATGTGTGTGTTTATGTGTGAGTGCCCACGGAGGCCAACGAGGGCACAGGCTGCCTGCCTTACAAGGGAGCTGCTGGCGGCTGTGAGGTGCTGGTAACCTCTGTAAGCGGCATCACTCAGTCGCTGAGATCTCTCCAGGTGTTTTCAGGTGAAGAAAACCCTACAAAATCCAGATGTAAAATCTCACTCCCTTGCTATCGCGCACAACAGAGCTCCAGAGCAGGGCACCTTCTGATACACTGAAGACAGGGAGAGACGTCCCCTGCAGCTCCAGGAAACGTGGAGTCAAGGCTCAGAGGTCAGCTTCTCTGATCTCATCTTCATGAGGACTGGGAGTCACCTCACAGAGCCATCTGTCTGTCCTCGTGAGAACCCTGCTCCCCGCTTTTATCTGACATCTGGCAGGCATTCCTTATCTGCTGTTCACAGATGCAGGGAAGACAGAACCTGCTGCCGTAAAGGGGCCCAGAGCTAAGAAGATTTTTCTGAAAAAAAGGATTATTTATTTTTGTTTTGTTTTTGTTTTTTTCCTGGTAGCTGGAGGAACAGCTGTGGGTTCTGGGAACTGAACTCCTATATTTTTGGCAGTGAGCCTAGCCTTTAATGACTGAGCCATCCTTCCAGCCCTTCTGTTCTTAAAGAATACTGTCTTGAATGTTTCACAGCTGAATAGTCACTGTGTGAGGTATCCATAGAGCTGAATAGACATTGTGTGCATAGTCCCTGTGTGAGGTGTGTGTCCGCAGACTGTCATGGTCCCTGTGTGAGGTGTGTGTTCGTAGATTGTGCTGCTTTGGGGCCAGTTCAGGGTCCAGGAACTAGCTTTTATGGTGGATAGTGCTCTCCCTGGCAATGACACTATTCCTATTCTTTACTTGAAAAGGAGGTATCTTGACACATCAAGAGCCTTCCCCACCCCAGAGAATGCTCTAGGATGCTGGCTTCTTGACATTAGCAGAACAAAAGGGCCTGCGCAGCCACACAGTATTTGAGAATAAAGAAAACTATTTTTGAGTAGAGTCAAAAACTCAGAATTGGGAGGAGAAAAAGAAGAAAACAAGAGGAGGGGCGCCACTCCCTCATCCCCTGTAGCTCCCTGTGCGACAGGCCTGACCCCAGGAGGACAAGGTGGACTATTCAGCCCAGGGTGCTATTGCTTCTCCATGAGAGGCATCTTCCAGCAAGCAGACAGCCCTGAGAGGTGCTGCCTGGTTCTGTGTTACTCTTGGAGGGTGGGTCTCTTTTCACCTTCCTCAGGGAAGGTCCGCTTCTCACCCAAAGTCACAGCAATTCCAGAATGTATTGGTGTTACGGGCAATTTAAACTTTAGTGGTTAAGAACCTAATTATTGCCCGAGTCTCTGTGGATCGAGAGTCCAGGCCACTTCTACCTGCGTTCTCTGCCTTGGGGTCTTTGACCTTGGTGGAACTGGAACCGTTTGGCTGGGGAACAACCCACGTTCGTGTCTGCTCTGTAACTGCTGGCAGGTCCGGTTCCTCGAGGCCACCTGGCTGAGGCTGTCGATCGTATGCCGTCGTGTGCCGGCTGTTGGCTGAAGCCCTCCCTCCGTTTTGCAGGTGGGCAGACCCCGTGTGGCAGTTTGCTTCATCAAAGCCAGGGCAGGGAAGATTTTTGCTAGCACGACGGAATTGCTAATGTTACTAGATGCACAGAAATGCCCGCTTGTTACACGCTGGAAGGGCAGGTGATGTGCCAACCTTTCCCACCACCGTGCCAGCTAGAAGCAAATCTGTAAGATTTACCTGACACATGATGGAATGACATAACACAGGCGTGTGAATACCAGAGGCAGGATTGTTGGCACCTTTGTAGAATTTTTTCATCACTTTGTGCTCTTCTTGGGAACTCTGTTACTTGAAGCCATAGTGGCACCAATAACAAGGGAGCCCTCATCCTCACCCACATATATGTTAGCAATGTTGACGTGTTTCCTCATCCTCACCCACATACATGTCAGCAATGTCAACGTGTTTCCTCATCCTCACCCACATATATGTCAGCAATGTCGACGTGTTTCCTCATCCTCACCCACATATATGTCAGCAATGTTGACGTATTTCCTCATCCTCACCCACATACATGTCAGCAATGTTGACGTGTTTCCTCATCCTCACCCACATATATGTCAGCAATGTTGACGTGTTTCCTCATCCTCACCCACATATATGTCAGCAATGTTGACGTGTTTCCTTGCCTTCACCCACATACATGTCAGCAATGTCAACGTGTTTTCCTCATCCTCAACCACATGTCAGCAATGTCGACGTGTTTCCTCACCTCACCCACATACATGTCAGCAATGTCGACGTGTTTCCTCGCCCTCAACCACATACATGTCAGCAATGTCGACGTGTTTCCTCACCCTCACCCACATGCATGTCAGCAATGTTGACGTATTTCCTCATCCTCACCCACATATATGTCAGCAATGTCGACGTGTTTCCTCATCCTCCCCACATGCATGTCAGCAATGTTGACGCGTTTCCTCACCCTCAACCACATACATGTCAGCAATGTCGACGTGTTTCCTCACCCTCACCCACATACATGTCAGCAATGTCAACGTGTTTAAAACACAAGTGGAGCGGGTCTTGGTAAAACAAGCAGACAAATTTGAGTCACCCAAAGGGAAGGAAGGCCCAGTGAGTCGCTGTGTGGCTGTAGGAAAGGGTAAGTAGCTCCTAGCGCCACCTGGTGTCCCACTGCCACCAGCACACCCACTAGGTAGCAGGTAGCAGGTACTTGGAGGGCTCTTCCAAATCTCTATATGGTAGACGGGACTAAATGGCAAAGCCCTTCTACGCAGACGGCCAAGCCAATAGGAGCAGGGCAGTCAATACGGCTCAGCCTCTCTTATTACTATATTCAGTGTGGTGTGCTCGTCACCTCAGAGATCATGGTCATGGTGTGAACACCAGAGAGAGGGGTCTCACCGCTGGTGGGAAGGCATTCCTGGGGTATTCCAGGGCCTGTGCCGACTCTGGGATGCTTTTCGCATGTCTGAAGAGGAGTGCCTGCCTGGGGTGAGAAAGCAAGCTGTTCT